CACATTGTTCTTAATCACTTTTGATCAATCATTGTTCTTTCTATTAGATCATCAAGATCATCCTTGTAAACTCTTTTATTACCAAAAATCAATATAAACAACATATTCATTCTCTAAGTTCTTAAGGGATTCAGCCCACGATTGTCTTCTCCCCAATCCTAACCTAACCTAAACTAGGAAGTGAGTTTTATCCCTCACAACTAGTTCGCCCATCGGTGAACTAAGCCAGCTTGGCTTAGTTTGCCGTTGGGCGAACTAGTTGCGACTAGTTCGCGTTTTACGGCTGTTTCGTAAAACGATTCTCGAATTTTATAAAACGGTTTCTCAAGTTTTATAAAACGATCTTCGAGTTTTATAAAACGGCTTCTCTAGTTTTATAAAACGATCTTTGAGTTTTATAAAACGGCTTCGCGAGTTTTATGAAACAATATTCGAGTTTTATAAAACGATCTGCGAGTTTCATAAAACGTCTTCTTGTCTTATAAAACGATCTTTGAGTTTTATAAAACGACTTTCCGTTTTAATAAATGATTTTTGCGGAAAGTAATGATTCCAGAAGTTATCGTAGACGTTGATTACGAGATTAAGGTTTTTGACACCAACAAACAGTTAGTCTAATGATTTGTTTATGTGTTACTTAATCGGACCAAATTCTGAAATGAGACAAATGACCAAAATTTAATCTCTGATGGACCAAATTAATCTACATAGACCAAATAAAGGGAAATGACAATACCACCCTTAATGAAAGTGTATTCTTAACCACTAGATTATCTTATATTTCTTTTAATTTGAACCACACAATTTTTTTCCCTTTTATCTTTCTTTTGGCTGAGAATTTTTATTTTTATATCTCAACCGTAGGATTGTTTTCTCTTTTTCGGTCACAACCACACGATTTCTATTCTCTCATTTGTATGTGTATAACTAATATAACCCGTATAACTAAGCATATTAATAAGTAATATAACTAGTATAATTAGTATATAAATTATATAATTCGTGTATAATATGTAATCAATGTAACTGACAAGACTAATAAATTATATCTTCTGTATGAAAAAATAAAAAAATAATGGGTTATTAGTGATAAAAAAATGTCTATATTATTTGAGGGTTTTCAACATTTATATTGTTACATTAGTTTTACATTACATACCTTATATTTAAAGGTTTGTTAATTAGATTAGTTATATTATTATGAAAATAAAATATTCAACATAATTTTATAAGTTATGATGTGAAAATATTAATAAAACTCCTTAAGTTATATAAAAAATTGGTACAACTGGTTCAATTTTATATCAAACTATACATGTTATACTGGAATAACTGGTACAACTATGTTTTATTTACTAAACAAGTGATCTCCGTATAACTAGTACAACTATTCAGTTTCTAAAATTTAAATATTTCATTGAATATTGCATATGAAAACAAAAAATCAGCTTACCATAATAATAAGTGTTTAGATAGGTTATTTTTATTTGTGATGATATTTTTTTTTATTTTTTTATAATTATAAGACAATCATATAAGTTTGCATAATCTACCTTATACTTTTAAGGTTTGTCAACTTCTTTGTCCACATAACTTTTGGAAAACATACATGGAATGTATTTTAATAAAACTGGTGATTTCATTGTATTAGGGCATATGCATGTACACATAAAGAAGTGGTACAACTGAAGTAAGTTTAAATTTTATATGGTACAACTAGTTTTTTTGATTTCACTGCCGAAATACAACTATGTACAAATCAGTATAACTCAAAAACTAGTACAACTATGTACAAACTAGTACAACTATAATACTAGTACAACTATGTTATTTCTTTTTGTATTGTGCATCATGTTTTAACGTGTATCATGTTTTAATCATTATAGTTGAATATTAAGAGGAGTAGTTTTACTAGTTGTCTCCTCCTCATTTTCAACTGCATCCTTCTTAGGCTTTTTCTCGCACTTACAATTCTCCTTAGTTGATTCCTCAACCGATATAGCATCACTCATGTCCTATATCATCTACAACAAATCATAGTAACCATGCAAATCATGTAAACATAAATAAGTGGTATCACTAAGGTAACTGTATAATTATAGTACAACTAGTATAACTAGTACAACTTGTAACAAATCATTAATCCAAAACAAATATTATTAAAAACATACACTTCATGTATTTGACACAGGCATGAGAGGGAAGATTAGACTAACATGTTTTATTAGTTTTACATCATACTCTTTTATGTTATCTTCATACACTTAAAACAAAATAAAGATCACTATATTAATTGCAAAATTATATTAGTACTAGTTATACTCAATCTATTTGTACTAGTTATACTCGAGTACTTGTACTTGTTGTACCATTCATATATATCACTATCACTTGTCATTATTTGTTTATGAAAATACTCTGGCTTCGAATGCAAAAAATGAAGATAATTTTTTCGTAAATAGTATAAATAGTATAACTAGTACAACTGGTACAATTTGTAAGCAAATAACTTTCAAAATAAATATTATAAAATAAATTTTAACATTTTTCGGCAGATCCATATAGTGGAAGATTATACAAACTTTTTCATTGGTTCTACATCATTTTCTTCAATAACATCATTCACAGTCTGAAAACAAAAACGTAACATAACCATATTAATTGTAAAGTTGTACTAGTTATACACCTTCTAATAATATTAGTTAAACTAGTTATATTTGTTGCAGTTGTACTAGTTATTCATGTTCTAGTTGTACCAGTTATACTAGTTTCAGTTGTACTAATTATACTAGTAATATTCTGTGTTCTTCATCGTCAAAATTTTTTTACATTGAACATGAGAAAATGGATTGAGAAAGATGGAGAATTGACCGATTTGGGATATGACATTCAGAAGGTTTGAAGAACTTTCTTGATTTTGATTAAGAAGGAGATGAGAAATTCTGATTTAAAAAAAAAATCTGGGTTTTTTTCTTCAAAAAATCTGGGTTCATAAGATTATGAATCATGATTGATTATGAAGAAGAAATGGAATAGCATGAAGAATTAGATGGATGTTACATGATTTTTAGTTTGATTTTGAAAAAAAAAAATTGTAATGAAAAATGGAGGTGTATCGTGAGAGTGATGATGTTTGAGAAAGAGGGATTTAAGAATTTAGTAAACCGAATTGAATATGATCGGGTTAGTGGGTTAGGATAATGAGTGGTTGGGTTAGTAAATAAGTAAAACTTTTTAGGTTTTTGGTCTTTTTCTCTTATTTTTGATTTAATTTTAATTATTTTTACAGCATTTGATTCCCTTGTGGTCTATTACAGCATTTGATTCTACTTAATCGAGTCTGCTTAATCTCTCTTATAGGATTATTGGAAACGATGAACGCGGAGGAAAGGAGAGACTCGAATGAACAGGTGGCGGAGAATAAGACTGTGATGCGTGGTCCAGCTCCTCGTCCGCTGTCAGGTAACTTCGGCTTTTCCGCGACCTGGATTTAGTCTTATGTTTTCAGAAGCTCCGAGACCTTGATTTAGTCTTATGTTTGTACGTATACCTGATTGCGTTGCTTAATCTCTGTTAGGAGTATTGGAAACGATGATGAGCGCGGAGGAAAGGAGGGAACGGAATGAACAGGTTGATGAGAATCAGATTGTGAAAAGTGGTCCATCTCCTTCTCCGACGTCAGGTAACTGCATCATCCTTAGTCTTATGTTTGTGTTTGTGTCTGGACCTGATCGTTTGTTTTTGTTTTTCCTTTAAAAACATAAGGATTAGGGGTAGATTTGATTGGGTTGGGGAATATGACCAAGAGAGAATCCAGTGTACTGACTACGACAGATCCACAGTCGTTGCCTTTGCCAGCTCGTCCTTTGCTTCAGTCGTCAGGTAACTTCAGTATCTCCGACACTTAGTCTTATGATTTGTATGTGTGTTGCTTAATCGAGTCTGCTATGAACGCAGAGGAAAGGAGAGAATGGAATGAACAGGTGGCGGAGAATAAGATTGTTATGCGTGGTCCAGCTCCTCCTCCGCCCTCAGGTAACTTCAGCAGCTCCGAGACCTACCTGGATTTTTTCTTATGTTTGTACCTGTACCTGATTGTGCTGCTTAATCTCTCTTAGGACTATTGGAAACGATGATGAACGCAGAGGAAAGGAGGGAACGTAATGAACAGGTTGATGAGAATCAGATTGGTGAAAAGTGGTCCATATCCTCCTCCGACGTCAGGTAACTTCAGCATCTCCGAGACTTAGTCCTTTGTTTGTATATGTTACTATGTACCTGTGCCTAAGATTGATTTGCTTAATCTCTCCTTAGGATCATTAAAAGGGTTGAACTTGGATCAACTGCGTGAGATGTGGAACGATATGTACATGATTGAGAACATATCCATGGACCAAAAGAGAGCACACAATGAAGTTATTTCCAAGGCTGTCCTGTCCATGGTGCTGAAGAAGAAGCCATTGTTACATGATGATCTATTGTTACCTGATGATCTGACTAAAATGATTCTGGAGCACCTTCCCGGAAAAACTTTGATGAGGTTCTTGTCTGTTAAAAAGCAGTGGGCTGCGATGATAGAAAGCGAAAGTTTTAGGGAAACTTACAGATCCACTTCGGAGAAGAAACCGAAGATACTCTTCTCAGCCACAATACCGGAAAAGCCCGAGTCTAAGTTATTCACATGCCACAGGTTTCTGTCCATCCTCCAGGAGAAGCCCAACTCGTTTATCCAAGAGCCATCTTTACTTGCAGTGTTGAAGCGTGACTATACCCATAAAATTTCTCAACCTACTGGTGGACTACTGTGTTGTTTCCGCCATACTAAGTCCTTGGTTTGCAACCCGAGTATTGGAAAACTTATCGACCTGCCAGATGTGGATGACAAGTTGGTTTTCTTTACTGGAATCAATCCTGTTACCCGAGAATTCAAGGTCCTGGCTAAGCCTGAATCATCTTCAACTGCTTGTGTTCTAACCTTCATGACAGACAACACCACCCAAACCTGGCGAACTATCGACACTGCTGGCCTCTGTCACAGCGCTCGTTCATCAGGAATCTACTTTGGGGGATATCTTTACTATGTTGCACATGTCTCGGAAGAAACGGCTGATCTCCTTATCTCCTTCGATCTTGTGACTGAAGTGTTCAAGTTTGTGAAATTGCCTGATGATCTGTTGACTGACTTTGATGGTCAACCAGGTGATAGGCTGGTGACCTTTAACAACCAATTAGCAATTGCTCAAGATGATGGTGACAGTAATCTCCTTACTCTCTGGCTTTTGGATGATAAATGTTCATGGTTCAAACGTGAGATCATAATTCCCTAGACCTGTTCCTCACCCAGTGCGAGAATTAGACACAAATTTATAGGTACAGGTGCTACTAACGAGCTCATCTATGCGCCTTACTCAGCTTACAACTTCCGATCTCAGTTCCATTTCGAGAATCAAGACAAATGTAAGTATCCGGGATGATTTTGCTGGTTTCAGTGGGAAGATAGAACCGTATCTTGACTACACCGATAGCACTGATCTCATCTCCGTAGGGAGACCCATGTGACAACTCCTCTCTTGTGGTCTTGTTAGAAGAAACATTATGCTACTTTCCTTAAACCTTGAGACTTAATACTATGTTGTTTTCCATTGA